GTGTGTGCGTGTGTGTGTGTGAACTCACAGAACAGCCGTCGACCAAGGCTTTGATGTAAGGGTTGGTCTCGTAGCTCAGCTCCTCCTCGTTGGCGCCCTTCAGGTGCAGCGCCCGGTCGTAGTTGTTCTTGGCGCTCTGGTCGGCCCAGGCCACGGAGCGGTGGCAGTGGTAGGTGACGTTCTGGTGGGCCTGGACGCTCAGGAGACGCAGGAAGCCCAGCTGGACCACACCCACCCTTTGGCCATTAGAGTCCACGTATGAGAACTACGAGCACGAGGAAAAATGAGCAGAATAAACATAAAGTGAGAAAATGTTTCAGTAGAATGGACTAAAAATAAAATCAAGGTGTCGGGGTACTAACCTTAGTGCCAGTGGAGAACTGACTGTACCAGGATCCTGGAGTCTCTTTGTCCCAGGAGCTCATCTTCACCTGCGAACACAAATGTCCACGTGGGTTTAGTTTGACATTTTCTGAACCAACGTCTCATCAGTTTAAGATCTCAGCCAAGGAGGTCATGTTTTCACCCCTGCATGTCCCGTAGTTTGTTTGTTTCAGACAGTTCGATAAAAACAGGCACTTTTAGGGGACTGGTATCTCTGATTGTGCAATTTCATGCAGCTTGATTGATCTGACAGTTGGGCCTTGAGGTACGAGCTCTACCGAGTGAAATCATCATCGTCAAAGTGGGAAATCAGAAGCTGCAAACACGAATCAGTTCCAGCTCCGACCCTGAAATGTCAGATTTTCAGAGCGCTGCTGATTTGTTGGACTGACCGTGTTGAGGCTCTTGCTGGGATACAGACACGTCTCTGCTCCGTTGGTGAAATTACAGAAGACCTTGAAGGAGTCTCTGGAGCAGCCCTGGTTGGGGTCGATCCAGTATTCTCCTGCAGAGGGAGACAGAGACAAAACAAGGTGGGACAATTAGTTTTTATTGAAATGTTAATTTTTATTTTTATGTATAAGTTCTTTCAGGTTATGTTTTGGTTGTTGTCTGCAATTTGCATAATTCAATGACGGGATCAGCGTCATCTTCATGTCGAAATGATTTCAGATTTAAAACCAATCGATCAGTATCTCAGCAGACAACGGTGAATTTCTGGGTTGAATCCGTTACCGTCTTTGAGGTCCGGCTGGCTGAGGTGCAGGTCCTGGCAGGTGCGGGCGGGGCTGTCCTGGGTGCCCAGAGGGAAACGCATGGTCTCGATCTCCTGGCGAAGTGAGTTGAGCGAGCCGAAGATCTCCTCCATGCCTTCACTGCCGATCAGGAACTCGGTGCCAGCCGCGTCAGACGCAGGCATGTCGGGGTCGGACTCGGGGAGCAGCTGGCTGGCGTCGATGGAGCGCTTGGACTTGGGACTCCTCTGGATGGGCAGAGGCTGAATGACCTCACCTGGTGGGCCCTGGGAAGCAAGTTTAACAACAATCATCCATGAGGCGCAAAGAGTGAGCGAAGAGGAATTCAGATGATAAATCCTGACATTTTCACAAGGAATCACTCACAGGAGGTCCAGGAGGTCCCTGCACACCCTTTTCTCCCTTTGGACCAGCTCCTCCCTGGAAGAGAAGCATTGGAGAATTAAATCAGAGTCGATGGATTATTTATTTATGTCACTCACATTGTGGCTTTTAAAATATACTCACAGAAGAACCCTTAGCTCCTTTGATACCTTGAGGACCCTGGAAAACATACAAGGCTTTAGTTTTATTTCAGTGGTGACCCTCCTCCATTGTTTTTAGTATAAAGCTGAAAAACATTATGGGAACAGAGGGAGAGAGAAGTGGGGCAGCGTATTGATGTGCACTCACAGGCAGACCAGGAGGACCAGCAGGTCCGATGGGTCCGGAGCCTCCAGCCATTCCCTACAACAACACACGAGACATGAACATGAACATGAATCTCTACATGAACGTGACTGACGACAGATCGGACTGAGGTCGTAGGACTCACGGTCTCTCCTTTGGTTCCGGAGGTTCCCTGAGGCCCGGACTGACCTCGGTCTCCCTTCTCTCCCTGCTCGCCTGGGGGTCCGATGAGGCCGATAAGACCTGGGTGTCCCTTCTCTCCCTTGGCACCGGGGTCTCCACGCAGACCCGGCAAACCAGGTGGTCCCTGCAGGAGGAGGAGGAGAAGAGTAAGACGTGAACATGTGAAGAGAGGTGGAGGAGGACAGGTGGAGGATTGAAGGATAAGGCAGCAGGAGAAATAAACTGCTGCTGGACGACTTCCTGTTATAAATACACTGTAATTCAAAAGCAGACGAATGAATGAAAAATAAAAGGGGATGGTATCTCACCAGGGGTCCAGGTGGACCTTTCTGTCCAGCAAGTCCCGGAGATCCTTGTTCACCCTGAAACACAGATTCATCAAACACACAATCAACACACACAAGCTGAATATTGTATATTTAGCTGCTGCATTAACAAATACAAATATATTTCAGAAGCTTTGTTTTACTCTTGTGTCAATATGTGTAATATTGATTTGAAAGTGTCTTTGTCTCATAATCTGATTCCAACGCTTGGGTTTATTTAATTTTTCATTCTTCATTATCATTACCACAGATCCTGGGAGTCCTCGGAGACCTTCTGTTCCTGGTTTTCCTGGTTGCCCCTGGGGGCCAACGGGGCCGGTTTTTCCTGGTGGGCCAACAGCACCTGAGTCTCCCTGTGAATCACGATGACAAGAAACAGGATTAAAATGTTTTTAAGTGAAACAGTGTAAGTTGTGTTTTACAATTGGAATAAACGAGGAGTTTGAAATAATTCATGACTATAATTATCCTCACTATCTTAGAGCAGGGTTTCTGCAGGTTCTGCAGACTTTTTAACGCCATAGTGAATAAAATGATTTATGTTAAGTATGACAGATATAAATATCAGAGTCTAAAAGTTTCTTTCACTTCCTCATAGAAACATTATCAGACTTCAGAGAGAGTATCGTAGTGTTTCACACCAGTGATCGGAGATAAATTCTAATGTTTGTAGACGATCAGTGTATTTTTATTACTGTATATTAATGTCTGTGGCGTTGAGAAAGAACTACAACACATTACAATCCGCCACATGAAGTATGGTTGTACTGTCTGCTTTGAGTTAAGAACCACAGGGAGCTGAGAATCTCACCTTGGTTCCCTTCTCTCCCTGTCGTCCCTCTGGTCCTCTCGTTCCAGCAGGACCCTGTGAAATGAAACATGTAACGTTCACACACACACAAACTCAATCATTTCAAATTCCATAACTGAATCATAAAAGTCAAAATGAAATAAATAATGTTCAGATAATTGTATCTACTACACTGCAGGAAAGAAGCAAAGTAGGTGGTTGCATTAAGACGGCCGATGTGACGTATACGTGGAAGTCCCAAATGAGGACGGTGACCTTACCCTCTTTCCTGTGGGGCCGGGAGGTCCGTTCTCACCAGGAGGTCCAGGGGAGCCCTGCAGTAAGAGGCAGAGAGGAATGAGTCAGACCTTTTTTAAGACTTCATTCACATATCTGCAGCACTGCAGCTTTGACTTACAGATTCTCCAGCTTCGCCATCTTCTCCTCTCTCTCCCTTGGCGCCATCTTGACCCTGAAGTAAATCAGAGCAGAGTTAACGTTTTGGAGACGACGTGTGCGAAACAAGCTGGAGCCCTGCAGCCACAGAAACATGACTTACATACGACGCTGATGTTAATTCTTTAAAGAAAGGTTACTCACTCTGGGTCCAACCTCACCAGGGGGACCGGGGTCACCAGGGAAACCAACAGGACCCTGACGTTAAGCAGAAAAAGAACATTTAATGAGAAATTCACATTCTGCAGAGGAGTCAGCAGTCATCGATCTGTGAGCCACTGTGTGTGTGTTCATTAGGGCTCGTCTCTCTGTGGGTGTCATACAGGGTTTCCTTTGGGTCCGTCGTCTCCGGGTCGTCCTCGTCCTCCAGCAGGTCCAGCAGTTCCAGGTTGTCCGGACTCTCCCTTCTCTCCGCGCTCTCCACGAGGACCCTGGAGGCAGGAGGACATGTTATTAACTCGCAGGTGCCACAGTGAAGGTTCAGACTCCTGATGTCTTAAGACGCATACACTCACCTTCTTTCCAGGTTCTCCGACAATTCCAGGTGGTCCAGCCTCACCGGCCTCTCCCTGCAGAGCAAACAGAGCTTCTATTAGTTCACAAGACAAGTTGATTGAATTCACTTTTTCCTTTGTTTTATTTCCATGCTGAAATATCACTTTAGACTCCGCACCTTCTCTCCAATCGGTCCAGGGTTACCCAAACCACCAGGAGGACCTTGAGGACCCTGAAAAACACATGAAAAAACTTTCAAACAAAACAAAGAATTTCACTTTTGCTCTTTTGTCTCATTTAAAAAGTTACCACTAACAGTCGATGTTTACAGAAGTAGTGACGTGAAAATATTTTTTTTAGATAAGAGCTGTAAACTCACATCAGCTCCGCTGGGTCCGGCAGGGCCGCGGGGTCCTGGAGGGCCTGGAGGACCCTGGAAAAATAAACAGGTTTCTGCTTTTATCATCATTTATTAATTCTATTGCAGTAAAAAGGAGTCACTGAACTGGGCGTCATGGTAACCATGTATTTCTGAAACTTACCAGAGGTCCGACGTCACCTGTCTCTCCCTTTTCACCTGGAGGTCCCGGCAATCCCTGCAGGACGAAGGCCACAGTTACACAAACAACCAGTTTGATTTAGCAACAGGAGCTCAAAATGAATATTCAATAATAAAATGAATGATGATAAAGAAAAACTTTTTATGGCACAATTCAAAACCGCTTAATATTGACTAAATAAAACAGAATCAAGATGAGATCAAACTGAACAACCATGAGGTCAGGAGCAGGCTGCTGGTAAAAAAAAGCTTTATCTAAAGGTTTGAAATAAAGATTTCAGAAAAAGTTGAAATCAACCTCAGAAAAGAGTATCATGGCTTTTTTTTTTTTTTCACCTGCAGTCCGATGGGTCCTGGGGCTCCTGGGAATCCTCTGGATCCTTCGTCACCTTTGGCTCCAAAAGGCCCCTGCTGGCCCCTGGGTCCCAGCTCTCCATCAGCTCCCTGCACCAGAGAAAGAGACAAACAGAAACAAAGACATGGTGATGATAATAAGTTCTAACTCAGCTAGTGATGAAATCTTTGATGTCTGAGCGTCTCATGTTTGCAGGACTGATCTGTGAAGTATTCATATGATTACATTTCTATTTATTAAACTCTTTATCATCTTTTAGTGTCTGTACACAACCAGGGACAAGTCCAAACCACTAGTTCTTCAAACTGTCAAAGAGTTGAACTTACGGCAGGACCAGGCTGACCGACGGGACCCATCGGCCCAGGTGGACCAGGAGGACCCTGCCAACCGAAAAAAACAGTGAGCAAACCAACAATTGTGATTCAATTCTGATCATTTCCATTAGAAATATGTCCAATAGTTCAAATATCATTACTCACGTGTTCTCCCTTTCCTCCCTTGGCGCCCTTCTGACCATGCTCTCCGACCTCACCCTGAAACAACAAGGAAACATCCACGTCACTGCAGAGTTTGAAACAAAGCGCTGATACCGACACATGACGCACACGACTGTGCAACCACACTGAGCCCCACTGGACTTTTGAAAAGGATGCTTTGGAGGGATTTCGAGTTACTGACCTTGTCTCCGTCCTCTCCGGGTACTCCAGGTGTTCCGGCGGGGCCAGGCAGACCCACGGGACCCTGCACTCCGTCACGACCTGCCGGTCCAATAGGTCCTTTCTCACCCTTAACAGGAGAAAAGGGAGAATTCACAATTTATGGGTTTTCTTCTAAGGCTGGTTGGAGAAGTGAAAAATCTCCAGCGTACTCACAGGAACTCCCTTCTCTCCGGCGGGTCCAGGTGGCCCCTGAGGGCCCGGTCTGCCAGGAGGTCCAACAGGTCCAGCAGTACCAGCTTGTCCCCTCTCACCAGGAGACCCCTACAAAGGTCCAGCATTATAAAGACCAATGTTGTTAATGTTTCTTAAGACAGAAGGACAGAGTTCAACTGTTACTGTGAAATGATTTGATCCTGAAACATTCACATATTTGAATCTTGAGATATTCATGTGTTCACCCCAGTCTGTTTGTTTGTCAGTGGGATTACACAAAAAAATACAGAACAGATTTCCATGAATCAAGAAAGAACTTTGTAAAAACAGGCAGATCTGAGAATTACGTAAGAACTTTACTAAGTGATGTTCTAACTTTGAGAATGTTTGAGAATGAATTGTTCATTGGGTTTGAGACGTACAGCAGGTCCAGGTGGTCCAGCAGGTCCCTCACTTCCCTTCAGTCCTCCACCTCCCTGCAAAAAAAGACAAACATTTATGAATGAGTTTTAAGCAAAAGTCAAATTATTGATCTTATGTTAAGTATCAGCCTGATAATCTGCTTATTGTTTCGTTTTGTTTAGGTCATACTCACAGGGGTTCCCGGCAGTCCTCTCTCGCCGGGGAAGCCTCTCAGTCCTGAGGGCCCATCTTTTCCGGGGCCTCCTGGGGGTCCAGGGTCTCCCTTGGTGCCCTCCTTTCCTGAGGGACCAGAAAGTCCCTGCTCTCCAGGTGGACCTGGGGGTCCGGGGTGGCCGCGCTCGCCCATGGGACCGGTCTCTCCTGATGGACCCTGGGAGGATGGAGAAACAGGTGGAGATGGAGAGAAGAGGAAAGAGGAAACAAAGGGAGTTGAAACACAAAAAGAGAAACAGGTTGTTGTGTTGAAACCCATCTGATTTGTTGCATAACCAGCTTGTGAACTGAGTTTATGAAACTCACCTGAGGTCCAACGACTCCAGGAGGCCCAGGTGGACCCATCTTACCTTGGAAACCCTGCAGGAGATAAACTCAGTTAACTGATAATCTGCAGAATATTTAACCTCTGTCCTAAATCCAGAATAAAAAGTGACTGAAGTGTGTTGTTGCTTGCTCATATTTGCTCATCACATGATCAGCAACACGTTTGTAGAGATTATTGTGACGTGAAGTCGATGCTTGGACTGAAGTTTTTCAGGTTCACATTTATTTCCCCCTGATTTCTCTTAAAACCAACCTGCCTCTTTTTCTTATCAAACCTTCTGCAAATGAAGGCACAAAGTACAACACAGGGACGAGACTGATCAGGGTACAGGTAGAGGAGCGTACAAATTCATATATTTTGTGTTTATTTTCATGCGTCGTAGGCAGGGGTGTGTGTGTATAATGGATTGTATATGTAAGTGCAAGAAATTGTAGAGGGAATGCATGATGGACGTCAACGTTGGACAGATACCACTAATCTGTCAGATGGATTCATAACATATAGACATATCCCACTGCCTTGTACACCTTATTTTATATTGAACATGTGAATAATTGATCAATAAAAACACAATAAACCATAAATATCAATAGTAGGGAAAAAAAAAAATCAAACTTACAACTTCTCCCCTCTGCCCGGGGTGTCCAGGCAGCCCATCCTTTCCTGGTGGTCCCTGTGAGGAAACATCAAATATCAATGAATGATTATCTCCACTTTAAGACAGTTGTCCCTCTAAACACGAGTGATTAACAATCAATTGATTCCACTTCAAACATATAGAGTCAATAAGAGATAACTGGAGTCAGAGGGTTTTCTTACAGGAGGGCCCTTTGGTCCGGGGAAACCGTTGGCTCCCTGAGGCCCGGGCAATCCCTGGTGAGACAACAACACACGATATAATCACAACATATAATGTAATCAATCAGTCTTATGAACATGTTATATATGACGCCCACAAACAGTTAAAATGAAGAGCTTACCCTCTCTCCAAGAGGACCAGATGGGCCATCGCTTCCTGAAGTTCCCTAGGAAATAAAAAATGACCAACAAATTTAATAGACATAATGTATAAATACTCATTAAACATCTAAATTTATAGAGAATCATTTTCTGAAGAAAAGAATTTTCTGTGAAGTTATTAGATTGTTTGTAGTGGTCCATCGATATATGTGTGATAAATACATTGACTATGATGTGGTCAGTGATTAATAATCAATGAAAAGAATGTGATCGTCAGTAAAAACAATAATCATCTGTTTCTGGTTCACGGTGTGGACAAACCTTTGCTCCTGGTTTCCCGGTGGCGCCCCTCGGTCCTCTCTGTCCTCTGGGGCCCTGGTGGTCACAAGCAGGGAAAAGCCTCAGTCAGTCACAATCAATCAAATGCGACTGTCTCTGTCACCACAGTTAATTAGCTCATCATGGACTGTTCATTAAATGGATGACACGTCTCTTCTTCCTAATAGAAAAGCCAAAATATCAAAAATAGGAACACCGCCATCTTGCAGCGATGACATCATTTGGAGCCTGCGCAGTAGAGATCAGTGTCTTCAGCCCGTTTTTGTCAAATAACTAATTATGAATACCATCGGTTGAAGATGCATCAGTGTGATAGGACAACGTAAAATCAAAGAAGAGTGAAATTTACCGTTGGTCCTCTTTGTCCTCTTGGTCCTGCTTTGCCAGAGAGACCCTGAAAATACAACAAGAGTAATTACAGGCTCAAGAGGAGAAATGCATCAGTGTAGATAAAGAGTCTTTATCACAGTGAGAACTTTTAAAGCTTTGATCAAAAACAGCCAACTCACCCTCGTTCCCTTCTCTCCGTTTGAACCAGGGAAACCTGGGAATCCGAGGGATCCCTAAAACAAACAAATCAGCATCAGCACAGTTTTTCACCACGACGAGGACAGAGATGCAGACAATCACTGAATAAACGAGTCAGGGTGGTGTCTCTCTCACCTTAGGTCCTTGTCTTCCAGGATATCCAGGGAGTCCAGGTACACCAAGTTTACCCTGGAATCACATCATCACATCATTAAGAACCTGAATCACACAGATGCCATTTTGTTTAAAGATTACTGATGTTTCACAAACCTGCCAGTAATGATGATTATAGTTTTTAATACGAGATGTGTATGAGAAGCAGCTGATGTTATATTACAATCACATTAAAATGCAAAATGTAAAAACAACCACAAGAGGGCAGCACGATGACATTCCCTTGCCAAATGTTTTGTAAAAAAGAGGCCTTCCCTTGATTTAAAGGAAATAAAATTTCTTGACAAATTTGTGTAAATCATCTTAATTTGCAGTTTAAATAACAAACGACGCGGCTAAGAACATCGGTAGCTGATCTCATGTTGCAAAGAGCCGTTCATTTGATCTGGTCAGTGCTCAACGTGTCGTACCTTCTCTCCAACAAGTCCGAGTGGTCCGAGCTCACCGGGGGGTCCGACGCGACCCTTCGGCCCCTCTGGACCGTCCTCTCCTCTGGGTCCTGGTACTCCGAGCTCTCCCTGTCAGCAGGACACAAAGCTCGCCCGTCAGAAATAATCAACACAACAAGAGTAATATCGAAATATCAATTCATCGTTACATGAACGAACCAATCAACCAATCGGTTACTCCATCTTACCCTCTCTCCCTTGGTGCCAAAATCTCCTTTAACTCCAGGGAAACCATCTTCTCCCTAGAAACACAAATAAAAACAGGAAAAAATATATATAAATATGCAGCAAAAGAAAATATTAAGTTTGTTATTGAAAGGACCAGTTTTCTACTGTGCATCTCTTTACCGATCATCATTGAAGGGACGTTATTTCTTAAGTGAGAGACATTTATTTTTGTTGATTTATATTTTAATTTTGAAATAAATCACTTACCTTCTCTCCCTTGTGTCCCTTCAGCCCACGGATTCCCTGACCTCCCTGCAATCAAAGGATTAAATAATCAGGACAACGGTCCAAAGTCTTGTGTTTGTGAGGTCATTATGTATTTGCTTAGTTTTTCAAAGCTCCCTGTAAAGATGAACCGCGCCAACCTTGATGCCACGAGGGCCAGGATAGCCGATAGCACCCTGAGGACCGTTGGGACCCTGCACAAGATCAAAGAAAGAAGGACGAGTTGACAACACAATAAATATTTAACAATCGACATGTTCATCCTTACATGCACAACCCAATTTAAGTAACTGCACCAAGGTTTTACTCTGGATATGCATTTGAATCGATTTCTTTCAGTTGAAGTATATTTTTTCCTGCTAAGAGTCAGATGTAATTGTTGAATTGTGTTTGTGATTGACACCCACGTGGTTTCCTTTGGTGCCAGCAGGCCCCTCCTTCCCGGGGTGACCCTGAGAAGAGATGACACAAAGCTCAAGCTTCATAAATACGTCCTCCGCTGGAGCTCAACTCAATTTAATAAAATTATATTTCTTTAAAAGATAAAGGAAGAGACAAACGTACAGGAGGTCCGTCAGCACCGGGCATTCCTGGGAGACCTGGTTTTCCTGTGGGACCCTGATGGACAGGAAGACAAGGTGAGTGACATCATTCAGTGGACAGAAGAAGCCGTGAACGTTAGTTACTTCAAATGTCTGATATCTGGTTAAAGTACATTAACGTCCTGTATCTTTTTAAGACGTTCTTACTTTCTCTCCTGGAGGTCCGAGGGCTCCCTGAGGTCCTGGCATTCCCTGCAACAAAAAAAGAATTAATAATAATTTGCTCTTTGTCACACAGCTACGTGGTGAAAAGAGTCACGTGTATTTGATAATGACGACCATTCCTCTGTCTCACCTGAGTTCCTGGGGTTCCCTGCTGACCTGGAGGTCCTGGTTCTCCTTGGGGACCCTGAAGATCACAGAGAAGGACAGACGAGGACGAGAGAATCACAGGTTTAGTGTCATCACAACCAGTTATGCTACCAATTCTCTTCTGATTCAAAATCTTATCAATAAGGTTGAGAGTGACACTGACCAAGTTTCCTTTGGGGCCATGGGGCCCGTCGTTTCCTCGCACACCCTAAGAGGGAGAGAGGACGAATAAAGACGTCAACAACAAGAAAAAGTCCTTGGGACCGAAGTTGATTCTGATTGTTTACAAGTTTTATGAAAGAAAGTGTGGATGTCCAATGGATCCTGTGGATTTGGCCGCTTGAATCCTGGATAATACTTGGTGTTGTTTTGAGGTGAGTGTTGGAACGTTACATGATCATTTATAGATTTCTGGACATCCCCGTCTTTCAGTGTTGTTTCGTGAGGTGCTGCGGGTGTTCAGCGGTTACACAGTAGAACAATGTAGTTTAAAAAAGGTTTGCACTCACAGGAGGCCCAGAGATTCCAGGAGGACCTTTGGGTCCGAGCAAACCACGAGGTCCCTGCACACACACACACACACACAAGGGCGCATTAGTGAGGAAACACACACAAAAAACATATTTTCCCAGAAGTCAAGATAAGTCGCTTGGGAAAATAGACAATAAAGAGAAATTTAAAATCAGCAGAGTTGTCATGGAAACACTCACTGGTTCACCTGGGAGACCCCTGGGTCCGACTTCTCCGTCGTCTCCCTGGAAACCACGCACAGAAACAACAGTTCAAGGGCAGAAAGATTCTGATTATCGAGAGACACCGAGATTCCTTTATCATAACACGTCATACCCTCTCTCCGTCCTCCCCTTGAGATCCTGCGGGTCCCATGGATCCTGTGTCACCCTGCAGAGATGAGCGATTTGAGGAGTTAGGGATCAGAAAACTCTTCACTGCTGCTCACGAACAGATTATTCAAGGATTCACGTTCCTAAACATGTTCAAGAACAAGGTTGTTCTGAACGGTCACACTGTCGTCTGAGTCGCGTGGAGCGAATGTGGCGTTGTGATTCTCACCCTGTGTCCTTTGTCACCGGGCAAACCAGGAAGACCATCGAAGCCACGGTCACCCTGAGAGACACACACAGACTTGAAGTATTACCACTGTAACGCAGGAGGTAGAAATACATCACAAGTGAAGCTGATGCATTAAAGCAACACTATGTGGGATTAAGAGGATTAAGAGGTTCTCATCCATCTTCTAATTCCAGAAATCAGTCTGTACCTGGAGAATACCTCGAGAACCGTCTTACCTGTTCACACTTGACATATGATTTGTTGGGAAGTGCAGAGTTGAATTTGATGTGATTTACACGAGATACAATCAATATTAGTAAACTATGAGTAAACAGGCGACCAGCGCTCTGTAACAGCTGGAACTCATCAACGTAATTAATTTACCAAACTCTGTTTAGAGTTTTTCATATTTTCAAAACTTTCCTGCTGAATATTGGAGATAAACTCTGGTTTTTAATAACTTGTAAGTCTTTTAAACTGATCTACAGTTCAGCTTCACTCTTCAACTGTCTGGAGCTGACAATATCTAGAAGACATCCAAATACAAATGGATATATTTAAATTCAAGTACAAGTTTTTATGGATGGATTGATTTAATTAGGAAATTAAACCAAAGAGACGTTACCTTAGAACCAAGCTCTCCGGGCATTCCTCTGGCACCATCAGCTCCGGCCCGACCCTGTCAGGACACAAGCAGAGACGATATGACCATACGTTAACCTTGTATTAGAATAAAAGTAAAAGGTGTTTGAAACAGCTCCTGAATAAATTTGACTTCAAATGTACAAACTTTACATTAAAAAAACTAAATAAAGTAAATAAATAAATACTCACTCTTCTTCCTGGTTTGCCTGGAGGTCCCATCAAACCATGTGGTCCCCTGGGGCCCTGACAAATGAATCAGATAACTGTGATAAATGCTAATGATAAATATATATGTGTGTGTGTGTTTAATAATAACATACACAATAGTGAAATATGAAAGAGAGGGTTAATTACACATGATTTGATAGAAAATAATGATTTGAATGTTTTGATTGTTGATGTGAGGCGACAGTTCAGGTTGAGTTTCTACCTGAGGACCAGGGTCTCCACTCTCTCCCTTCAGGCCAGGACTCCCAGGATTCCCCTGAAACAGAAAGCACCATCATCATCATCATCATCATCATCATCATCATATCAGCTGGTTTCGGATATGAACAGGTAAAGGGCTGAGTGACAGGCAACATACCAGGGGTCCGGGGCGTCCAGTGAATCCCATTGGTCCAGATGGTCCTTTCAGAGCCATCTGCAGACAACAACACGTCACAATCAATGATCGCAGAGGCACATGGCTGCTTACACATTATACACATTGTAAATGATTGTTAATAATAAATGAGAGATTCAGCTCAATATCTCTTATGTTATTGAAGTTACTGAAGTTATTGTGCGTTCATGTGTTGGAATCATTTGAAAAAGTAGTTCCGGAGTGGGATAATGATCCAGGACCCCGTCTCAACTGGGAACTTATTAACCAATTAACATAATTTTACAATCACCTCTGAACAGTAGCTTTAAATGTGAAGTTTCAAAAGCCCCTGACACAACTTTTTAACCAATATAAACATTTTTAACATTAACATGCATGTTTTAGAACGTTTATCTGATGGAAATGTAAAAGTGACGACTGACCCTGGCCTGAGACAAGATGGCCGCTGCCTGAGCCTCCTGTGCAGAAACAACGGGACCCTTATCTCCTCCGCTCTGACCAAAACGGAACTGCAGAGAGAAAATGGAAAAAAGTTAAATGATTATTTGAATTTTATGAATAAACAATGAAATCATCTAATGAACAAATAGAAAAGACAAACAGATTTAAAATGTGGTGGCAGGTGGAGCCGTGGTCGGCACCAGAGCGGCCAGATTCCACAATTTAATTTAATTTTTAAAAAAAACAGCAAACCATCAAGATCTAAATTCAAGGTGACTCACAGGCAACATGACAGAGGTTCCAGGAGGTCCTGGGACTCCGTCAGCTCCAGGCAGACCAGCTCTACCAGGAACGCCCTGAGGAGGGGAGAGAAGGGGCAGTGAACTTGACGGATGGTGGTGATGGGATGCAGCCTCTTCTTTTTTTTCAGAGTGCATGTTTAATGAGCAATAATGTCTCGGATTTGCCTGTGCACTGATCCTATCATTTTGTTTTCAGGTTAAGAGAAACACTCACCCTCTCGCCAGGGTCGCCAACAGAGCCGGGGGGTCCAGAGGAGCCGGGGGGGCCGGTCGGACCCTGAAAGAGAAGCAGTAGAAAGAATGATCAGGTGTTCAGATTTTCAACTCAGTGTCAGCGTCAGGTGCAATTTAATATATTAAGGTCAGTAAAAAACCAAGGGAACAACTTACAGCAGGTCCCTCAGGTCCTGGAGGTCCTTCAATCAGCATACCCTGCACAAATCAAAAAGTTAAAAATATGATGCAGGATCAACAAGTACAAACAAGTACACACACTACAGACAAGTTTGTGGCACAATTTTCTTAACCACCAACACACGCTTAAATCCTCCTGGAGACATCTGCACCTGCAGCTGACGTTTGCTGGTTGCGGGGCAAACAGGTCGCCAGCATACACAGAGTTTACACATACTTATAATGAACGATTTTAAAAATGATTGACATCTGCTCTAATTTCCATTGATTAATCTGCATTAGATGATAAATAGGATTAATTAGTTTCATTAAGTGTCTGTTAGCAGGATTACGCAAAAACCACTGAAACCATTTCATCTAATGAATTTAAACCATTATTACTTTTATAATTATTATTGTAACTTACAGGCTCCAAGACAGCGGGTTCTCCTTTCTCTCCTTTATGGCCTCTGACAGCGGCCTGAGGAAAACACACATGTAGCCAACAACACGGCACAGTCAGTACAGGTATTTACACACATTGTAAAACTAAAACGACTAACACACTCAGTGAAACACATGAATTTACTATATAACAATACACTCTATTACTGCAGAATGATAAAATGACAACCTGTTTCGTCCAAAAACCGAAGATCTAATGGTTCTCATTACTTGCAGAACATTGTCTGCATGGATACAGAGAATCGTCTGGGCTTAGCAGCTCTACATGAAGCTACACACTGACAAAAATGGCATTCAGAACTAAAGATGCAGCAAGCAGAGTGTTGCTGCACTTCATAATGCCTCTTTATGCAGTGTACGTAACGTTCAAGTTATCTTTATGTGCATTAGGATCCCAAATAGCTCACACCGTGGTAATGGCTATTCGTCCTCGGGTCCCGTAATAAAACCCATCTCAACCAACATGTGAGGACTCGTTTTGGTTCTCAAAGTATTTATAATTAAATGCATTCAAATTCAAGATTCTCTGTTAATGGTTGAGTTTGCCAAGTGTGAAACAGAATCTGTAAATAGACTTTACAAGGTGAAACATTTTGTATTTTGGGTCGAGGTTGTTCAGAGACAATCACAGATCCAATAAAAATGGACGTAGACTCCAGTGTCTACGTCCTCCAGAAGCCAGTGCAGAAGTGCCTGAAACCTGTTTTCTCTGGAATGAACAGCAGATGGCGACTCCACTGGTAGTTTCTATAGAAGTCTGTAAAAGTGACTCTACTTCTCACTTGATTTATTACTACAGTGAACATTTACTCAAGAGTTTAAGTCTCAATCTCTAGTCTAAGTGGTAGTTATGAATATATTCTCCCTCCCTGTCTTTCAGGCAGAACTTCCTCCCATGTGTGTTCAAATTAGTCCCCATGAATAAGAGGGTCAATATTTCTCAGCGATGAATAAATAACATATGGCTCCATAATGGCTTTTGAGAAACGGCAAACTCAAACAAGTTTTTGACATTTGACAAAGATTGGGATTCAGAGTTGGTTGAAATGGATTTTTTTTTTTTGCCTTTTAAGCAAAACTACTTACGCCTCCCTCGTCTGTCACAGCGGACAGGGCGGGGCCCATGTTGGCATCGACTTCTTCAGTCTCCGCTAACGGCTCATTGTAGTCCCTGTAGGAATAGTCGTATTCCTTAAGGCCCACGTCCCCAGTCACATACTCCTCAGTGAAGACGTCTTCGCCCGCACCGCCTGCCTTGGTGGCTTCCACCTCCTCTCCCACCAACGTCGACTCCACCTGGGGCTGGTTTGGTGTTTAGTGAAAGTCGCGATGGGATAGGTGGAGGGGTTACGAGAGGATGAATCGAGAAGAAGAGGAATGGACAGTGGGTGGAGGAGGGAGAGTTAAGTATGATGGGAAAGTGTTAGTAAAGGGAATTGAAATACAGGATCAGAGTGGAAGAGAGGGGCATATATAGAAAAACGTGAGTCTTACCTTCTGCAAATGAACAGTGACATATGGACAGAAAACAAAAAGACATCTGACCGACTCTATCAGTCCGTCATGCCGTAACTTAAGTCCAATTTTCTCAGCTGAAATTCTGGATGAGCATTTATAAATCTTCTATCAAACGTCTTCTGTGGAGCTTATAATAGTCAGAGTTTTCATCAAAGTATATCATCATCAGCGTGTGTGATCACCTGTCGCCCAATGATTTCTCTGACCTTATAAAAGTTTGGCTTGATGTGCTTGTACGACACAGAACTGATGTGAAACACTTTGTAAAAACAAGCTGCTGCTACGAGCTAAGCTACGCAAAGCAAAACAACTACGTTACAGACTATTTTACTTACCATTGCAAAAAACACAAAAATGAATCCAGTGGAATCACGCTGTGCAGTTATCTCAAGTCAGAGAGGAGTAATTCAAAATATGTAAACATGGGCCACAAATAATCAGGAATGATGATATATCGATAACGTATCTATATCCACAAGAGCAGCAAAAACATTCCTGGAAACTAAAACAAAGTCACCAAAGTCAGCTGATATTGATAAAATGATAGTAATGATAACGACAATATTGGTTAGAAACAAATCAGAAACTTGATCTGAGTTTCTTGAGGGTTAGGTTTCAAACGAGAATGCATTATATTCATCTGCCTTTGTTACCTTCTGATCAAATATTCCCACGTGAATCCCCTTTTCACAAGACTTTTGTTCTTACGACAAGATCACGCACTGATCAACCCGGGAGTCTTGCGGTGAGAACAAAACGGGGATCTTGTTGTTAGCGAAAAGGGGCGTCACATAAAAATGTTTGATGACGTGTTCAGATGAATGTGGTGCATTTTCCTTTGAAAGAGGTTTTCTCTTATGTCTTGTCACGTGGCGTCGGCGCCAACAAAACAGTGATGTGTGGTTAGAAAAGTGTAAAGAGACACAGGACTATGGTTAAACTACAAGGACTGGGCTCACCACCACACATGTGTGACACCGTGGACTCCTTTAGGCGATGGAAGCCTCTTGTATTGAGGTGACAGTTTTTTTGCAAACTTCTGCTGAATCTAAACTCCTGAGATATTATGTGCAAATAAAGAAAGATGGTGTGTTTAATTAACTTGTGTGTCCTGTATTTGGTTTATCTTTTCTAGCCGGTCTTCTTTGACTATTTCATGTCGTGTGTAATTTTCTTTTTACCTGCACAGGGATCTCTTCATGTCCAGTCACCTCACCCTCTGGCTGTGGGACCATCTCCTCATAGTAATAATCAGTCTCTGTAGCGGTGTGGCCAGCCTCGGAATATTCAGTGTCTACATCCTGATTGGTCGAGGTGACAGGAAGTGGGGAGCAGGGAGGAAGTAAGCAGATTTGATTGGAAGAGCGTGGTTAGTTCAAAGTCTGCTTGTCGGTAATGAAGAGTTTAAAGATGAAAATGGAACACATCGTAAAATTGTGGTTTGCCAGACACAAATAAATGTTCGCTGGCAACTCACATTTTCAAAGTTGTAAAGATCCATTTTTTTAAAAGAAATTTCAGCATCTCAGTGACTATAAATTTTTGCCATATGCAAGATTTAGGGAGTCGCTGAGATTGTGTTGCTGAAATTTCTTTTCATTGCATTGTTGAACAGTTTTGGCTTTTTAGGTGAGATTCGTGAGAGGGTGAAGTCAGCTCTTATTGGAGGAAGGACTGAGAGCTGCTATCCATCCCGTCAGGTGAAAACATCACAACGTGATGCTCTGGGATGTCTAGTTTCACCCAAAACCAGAAAACAGGAAACAAACCAAATCAGCAGCCTCACAGAACATGATTAATTCAATTAATTCAGTATAATGTGTGAGCTGGAAGCAGATGTAAAACCTGCTTTTGTAGTTTCTGTGAGGCTGATTCATTCATATTTGAAAAGAAATATGACCGGAGACAGGGAGACAGGTGTCAGAGAGAAAACACAGGTAGTTCAAACATAAACAGGAACACAAAGTTAAAGAACGACAGGGTGACAGGGGAGAGTCGTTGTGTTGCATGTGTGTAGAATGTGACAGTATTTGTGTTTTTTCAGGTTTTATGTCTGTGCCATAGAAATCCATGCTCATTCATTCGACTGGTTTCCCCCGAAAAAGAAAAGTGGAGTGCGACGGAGCGTATTCAGGTTTCTGAGATCCAGCTTCAGCAGCTTGAAGGTAGGAGTATGAAGTGAAGTAAAGAACAAACTGTACAAGTAGCCATGCTTCATTGTGCACCGCTGTATCATATCATATGCAGCGGTCGGGCCGATCGTGAAGATCATATGATATATAAACAGAGGAGAAGTCGTCCAGCTCGGTATGAACCAGCTTCCACTCTGAAGACCAGATTATCCACCATGAAGGATTCACAGCAAAATTTGCATCATCATCCACGAACTGAGAGACCCTCATATCATACATGTGAATTTTGTTGCAGACCCTGGATGGTGGAAAGAGCTGGAAACCAGAAGGGATAGATAGGACATAACGGGTCTGGACAATCCGACCCAATCATGAGCCCTCCTGTTGTACCTGTTGATAACCGTTGGTAATTTTCTTCGCTGGGACGACGGTTCCACTCAGCGCTGTCTTGCCAAAGGGTGGGAAGGGTTTGTGCTGGGATTTGACATTGATGTCCAACACCACCTTGGATTTCGCGGGCCTGGGGGGAGTGGGCCGGACCGGGGTGGGTGTCATGGCCACCTTCTTTGAGATGGAAACCTTTTCCACCACATTCTTCACCACTTTGCTCGTGCTAGCGGTTGATTTGACCAGAGGGACCTTGGTGACCACAGTTTTAACTTTGGTGACCTCCTTGACCTCGGCATTCACTTGGGTCTTTGCTGCTTGAGCTTTGGTCGCCACAACCTTTGCTGCTTTTGTAGGTTCAGGTTTTGATGCTTTTGTGGGTTTCGGTGCTTTGGCGGCTTCGACTTTAGCGGCTGATTTAGCTGCACTGACCACAGTCTTCTCTATTTTTTCTACTTTAACAACTTTCTCAGTCTTTGCCTTTGTAGTGGTTTCAGTTTTTGCCTGGTTTGCAGCACCGTTACTCACGACCTTCTTTTCTACCACAGTGATAACTTTTCCGTTGCCGTTAGCCTTCGCCTCACCATTGACTTTGTTCTCAGCTTTGCCATTAACTTGGACTTTAACCTCTTTAACTTCAATGGTAGTTTTGCCATTTCCATTGGCTTTTTTCTCTGCCGTAGCTTTGCCGTTAACCTTGGACACAACAGTAACCTTTCCATTTCCATTGACTTTCTTTTCTGCAGATGATTTTCCATTACCATTGGTTTTCTTCTCTGTTACAACCTTGCCATTTCCGTTGCCATTCACCTTGGCCTGAGCTGTAGGTTTAGCTTCGGCGGCTACAGCTTTGCCATTGCCATTAGCCTTTGCTACAGCTGGTTTTCCATTGCCATTGGCTTTGGCTGCACCACTGGCCTTCTTCTCAGCAGCTGCTTTACCGTTCTTAGCCGGGGCGGCCGTGGGCTTAGATTTAGCTGCTGCGGTTGGTTTGATCTTAGACAAGAGGATCTCTACTGCAGTGGGCTTTGCTTTGGTTGATTTGGCTGTGGCGGACTTGGAAGCTTTAGTGGGCATAGGTGGTTTAACCACAAGCTTGAATGATCCAGTCTTGGCCGTCTTCGGGGTGGGTTTGGCTTTGACAGGGGCGGTTTTAGTGGGGGCTGCTTTTCCATTGAGCGCCTTCTTCTAATATCCGAGATTATTGTTTGGTTGACGTGTTGTTTGGTATGTACAAGTGCATATTCACAAAGACAGATGGGGAGCGAGGGAGTGGAGGAGGACAGAGATACATGGAGGGGTTGGGAGGGGGATGAAAAGCACAAACAAGGGATGGACAGAAGGAGAGAGAAAGACAAGAGTGGATGTTTTGAGAAACAATGATATAAAGATGGCTAAGGCTTGGATGATTCACTGAGACTGTACAGGCATTACTGGATACAGCAGAGGACTATTACAAGTTTTAATGAATACAACTGAAAAAGTACTAGTACAAGTAAAAATACAAATCAAATCCACACACATGTATTTAAAAAAAGTTATTTGAAATGCCAATTTGTTGCTGATCTCTCCAGTAATGCCATTCCCAATATTAAACGACAAAGCAGCATCTTTGTGCTAATAAGAACTGAGCCTGTGGTTTGGCAGAGGCACTGAGGGTGTTACTGGTCGGGTGAAGCTGGTGCTGAACTCACACACACACGCGCACACACGCACACACACACACACACATATATACAAACACATACACACACACACAAAACATGACCTGCTGTCCTCATACACACTCACACACAGTTTATAATGCACTGAGAAGTCCCAATGCAAAACAGACGAGCTTGCTACTATTTAGCCGTGCAAGTGAGGGAGAATAGAGTCCAGGTTCGCATGCAAATATGTGTTAGTCACATAAACCACACAATGAAAATGACTGTGCATGATTAATTATTACTTCTCGTGCTGCTACGATAAAAATACATGCAAAGTAACACTGTAAACAAATATTTGACCCATATAATATAGTGGGAAGGGAAAACAAGGCATCACTGTGGATATAAACTCATTAAATATGCAATAAGGACCAGGAACAGACTGAAAGGAGACAGACATGTGGCATACGTGTGTGTTATGTATGATGTACAACTACAAACACATTTACCAACACATAAACATGTGCATTAATATGATGATGCAGAAGTACAGTAGGTGCATGCGGTGACGTCCTGTCATGCAACTAACAAGACAACACAGACACATGCCCTGCTCAGAGAGAATCGCAAATCCATCTGTAGGTTTATTGTCTGTGAAACCAACCGAGTTGAGTCCGTCCATGCAATGAGTGCTAGAAAATTCAAACAATCCCAGGAAACGTACACAGTGTAAATGAAAAGAAAACGTATGTGCAAGACTATTTGACAAAGATGACGTTGAGAAAAGGCTACTCTGCACTTTTCATTTGTTTCTTGTGCTCGCTTGTATTTGCATGAGATCAGCTTGACATTAAAGGCACTTTAATTATTTGGTTTCATGTAATGTTAAGTTAGGGTCAATTCTAATTATGGAACAGGATGAGATATAAGAGTAAATATTGGAGAAATTAGTGGAGAAGAATGTGGGGTGGGGGGGGTTGCACATGTGTGTATAACAACACAGCTGCACCTTCACCACCCTAGTGCCCCCACCTGCCCACATCTGGACACATACACATTTGTAAATGACATGAGGACAAGATACAATCACAAGGAGCAAAGTTAATCCTGTGTGACGGAGATGAGATGTGTGAGAGTTCAATGTGGATTAAAGAAAAGGTGAGACATGATTAAAACGAGGGAGGTATGGAGTGATGAGGGATGAGAGAGACATATATTGTGCTGAAAGTTAAAATGCAGGATTTCACACAAATATTTTTGGAGAAAATAATTTCAAAAATGTAGTTGACATTGAAATATTTGACAAGCTACGCCGATATATTATGAATCAAGCCTTTGTTGTTGCTGTAATACCTCTCTCTCTCATTCTTCCTCCCTTCCACAAACCCAGCTCGTGTTTTCCCTCTCTCTTGCTCCCTCTTTACCTGTAGATTGGGAGCCCCAGGTCGGGGAGAGGGGGACGCAGAGGAGGAGGGAACGCCAGTTGTTTCCTCATAATAATAGGGGTATTCATGGTCATCCTGCTCCTCATCAAAGTACTGAGAGAGGTGGAGGCATGGAAGGATTGAAAGATGGGAAGGACGGAGGGAGACATGGTTTGGCAGGGGAGGGGAGGGGATGGGAGGAAGGTGCATGAAAGCGAGATGGACAGAAGAAGAGGAATTCACAAAGAGGGGGACAGTAGTGGTGATGAGGGGTCACAGAGGCCACAGAGGGATAAATATAGATGGAGAAGAGAAGGGGTGAAGCACCGAGAGGGAAAAAAATCAAACATGGTGATAGACAGCAAGAGAACAAATGCAAAGCTTTCATTTTTTCATTCATTCGAGTCTGTGCTGCTCGTAAAGTTAGATCATTAAAAATGTGGGTGCACAGACGACCTCGACGAATGAGAAAACAGCAAGAACAATTAAGCAAAGGGAGAAGCCGATGAATAAAACCACAGTGATTTATATTCATTCAGAGAGCAGTCATCTCAACAGCATCAACAGGGTTCGGGACGCAAAGTGCCGGATCTCTGTTCAGCGTGTGACAATTTGATTGAAGTTCTGGCATGCACATACTTAAAGCAGAGGTCATTTGGATGAATGAATGCGGATGAAAATCACAGCTGCTGGTGTCGGGGAACCGTCAGCATCCAAATATCAGAATGTCACTGAGAGGAAAAGGGAATGAGGGAGAGCTCGCAAAGCTAATAATAATAATAATAACACTAAAAATACCAATACCAATACTACTACTACTACTACTAATAATAATAATAATATACATGTAGTGTGCACAAACCAGTCTCAGTAAGTAAAGAGGCTCCACCTTAAGCCATCTTCATGCTCAAATCCTTTGATTTCTCAATTGAAGTTTTATGCACTGAACAAATTCTCTTTCTTCAAGACAAGAAGAAGAATTGGGGAGGACATTGACGGTGGCTTGTATCATCCTCTTTCCCCTTCCTCTCTGTGTTCCAGTGCATCAACTTATCCACTGCTGCAACAAACGGCCCATCTGCACAGGTGTATGATGAGACAAGGCCTCTGCTTCGCTTAAGTTCCCTGAGGGACACACAGACTGAGGAGGAAAGTGGATGGATACAAACTGTTGCCGATGACGGAGAAGCGCGAGGAAGACAGAGAGGAAGAGCAGCACTTTGATGACACTATCAGATGACTTGTCGTGAGCAAACTGGACACGAAGACTTTTCTTTCAGCTGGTCTCTTCACTGTGACCTTTGTTTTCACTCTCTGAGCACGTTTTCATGTTTTGTATCTTTCCTACAACGAATCATATCTGACATAGGATGCCTCTCCTGCTTTGCTTTGCTTTAGTGTGCTACACAGGTTTTTACCTCCACCAAGGAGGTTGTGTATTCATCTGCGTTTGTGGCAATTAGAAATTTTGTGGAGGGGTGGGACATGGTCCATCGAAGAACCCATTCAATTCCTTCTGTTTAAAGGACGGTGGAGCGGATCTGAATAAATGGGCGGATCCAGGAATATTTTTTTCCATTTTCTCACAAAGATGTTTGGATCTGATGAAGACTTTATCAGTTCCTTTCTTTAACTTAATAATCTGCCAAAGTGCCACAGAAAAGGAAAACAAAGTCCACAGATTCTGCTTCATCACAGATGAGCCGAGAGTTTCATGAATGAATGGTGTTAACATGGTGCCGGTGTTATCCGCTCTGTAACTGATGCTAAAGACTGAGTGACTTATAAAGGCTGCTTATTGTATTGGATCAGTCATTTGTGTGGCGGTGAGCAGATTGTGTATGAGCTCATGTTGTGCTGGTGTTACTCACGTATGTGTTGGGGTCCTGAGCCTGGGTCTTGGGCAGAGGGGAGTCACAGTCAGGGCTGTAGTGCTCACAGAAGTCGTAGGCAGCCTGGGGGTTGGAGGCGATCAGCAGTTGCTGGATGTCTCCCTGTGGAGAGTGAAAAGAAACACGTGCAGCTGCATCATCATACCATCAAACCACAGCATTAACAATGTTCACATTGTATTGACACTTATCACCAACAAGCAGCTGTCACAGGCTCAGTGTCTTGCACAGGGACACTTCACCATGCAGACTGGTGGAGTCAGGGATCGAACCGCTGACCGGTGTACACTCTACATGCTAGTGAAGAACTACATTACTTGCGTGTGTAAAATAAATAACAGCTCTTTTCTGTGTGAGCGTCCTCACCTGGAAAACCTCCTCATCCAGCAGACGGGCTCCAAACACTGTGATGCCGTTGGTGTCCACCTCTGCGTTGTTGCCTCGGGGCAGAGCGCGGGTCATCTTCTTCTTGCAGTCCAGCAGCAGAGTCACGTTTTTCTTGGAAACAGAGATAGCGATGCGATGCCACCTAGAGACAAGGAGGACGAACCGAAGGCGAATAAATGTGTCATGTGAGCACAGGCCTAATTAAAAAAGGTGTCTGGAGAACCCCCACACACAAACTCCACAGCCAATCATAACCACACACGCCCCACTGTGTCATCTCAACCAGTCACAAACTGGTTGTCGCTGGTTACTGACTTGCCATCAGCCAGGTTGACGCCTCTGAACAGTGGGTAGTCCTCGGGGGCCGGTTTGCCGTTCTGGTCCTCATACAGGAAAACAGGCGAGCGTCCCAGTTCGATGCCGAGCTGCTGGATGCCCTGCTCGCTGTAGATGGAGAGGAGGAAGGCCTGGAGACCAGACTGGGCCTTAACCAGAGCCATGATGGAGAAGTTCTCCGGGAAACGACCTACGGATGAGGAAGGCGATGAAAGAAGGAGCGCTTTAGAAGATGTGCTCTCGGAGAACGGAGACGAACAAAAACATCAGTACGTGCTGTAGGTCTGACACCCTCCGACTGGTGTCAGACCTGGACCTCCAAAATACTGACTTATTCGTGAGAAGAAGGGATGCAGGAGATGGAGGGTTAGAAAAGAAAGAGATCGCTCTCAAACAGGAAGGTGATCAACGTCAGAGATCTGAGTGAGGATGAGATGGATTTTGAAATAAAGTCCCATGTGATGCTGGAACTGAGGACACGTGATAACAGGTGAGACCAGCTGGAGAACTAAACCTCAGAAAATGAGTCGAAATCAGCTTTGACTTTTGACGATTTCTTCACAACCACATAAGTGGCACTTTCTCGTGTCTCCTCACTCCAGGGTGTCAGACTATACTCTCAAGTTAATTTGTTATGGCTCTCCCAAACAGTTTAACATGATTACACGTTACATCCACGAGCGAGCCAGTATAGCAATAACTTCAGTAAACTCCACAGAGCTAAGTTTGAAACACATCTAAACATAAAGAGAATCCTGTATAATGATGATTACAGGTTCCTTCACTCTGTAATTCATCCTAATTATTAAATATTAAGCCCTGCTGTAATTAAACGTTCTCTACAGGAATGTTCATTTCTTCAAAGTGTTTCCTCTTTCCTGAGGAAACTCTCTCTCTCTCTCTCTACTAAATCTTCCTGGAGGTTCATATGATGATATCAAGTCAAGCTTTTAAAAATCTCTTACCAGACATTGTCACAGTGCAATAATGATTCACCAGTTTCCAAACATGGAACTGAGATTGTGAAATTATAGGATCTTATGGGAGTTTGCAGAGCGGCCTACCTGAGAAGAGCTGCTTGGTGGGGGCAGAGATCTGGGCCTTCTTGGTGATGCGGTAAGCATGGTCGGGGCTGCCGGAGCGACGGGATGTGCAGAAGCCGGGGACTTTCTTCACGCCCTCAGGGAGCGAGGGAACCTGCAGAGCCCGCAACACGTCCACCGGGTCTGTGGGACAACGCAAGAGAAGAGACGTGTCATTGTATACAAACACACAACAGAGGAAACTCAAACGAACAGTTTCCCTGTGTGAGACACAGTTTTTTAATCCAATACGTAAACAAGTTGAATAACAAAGCTGAAACTGTGACCTGCAGTTATAGTACACACACTATTAAGTCAGATTTGTCTGTGACACTTCGACCGATGGAAACTCAAAAATGGTTTCTGTCATTTTGTGACAGTTCTTATCGCACTGATGTTTGTTTTTATCACTTCTTCCGATATCAGAAGGATGGATTTGCATTCTTGCTGATTCCTGACCTGACATTTCTGCAGAATCAGATGCATTTTCGATTCCTGGTTTCAGCGTCAGAATATCTCTACGATATCTTTGCCTCTAAATGATCGTTTGTATCTGATATATTTGAACCTCATTTCTGGAGAGTGGGATGAAGTGGAGAAGCCTCATCTCTCATAAAATTAACGTTCTTTTAGCTCTAATGTGATACAGAAGCAGGTGTGGGTCCACAGTGGCCACCACTGTACACGCAGGTATGATTTAAAAAAGGAAGCACTGTGCCAGGGCGAACGGGCGACAGGCCAAACCACATGAGCCACAGCAGCTACAGTGAAGCTCAGTTTGAACCAGAGCAGAGACAGTGGCTGCTATTCTCCTCATTTATCAAGCCACTGAAACAAGTGGCTGTTGACATGATGGAGTCAAGTGAAGGTTTCAGGACACGCAATCATTTCACAGTTTAACCTGACATGCACACAGACACACACACATATGTGCAGGCATGCACATACATACACACTCCAGGTATACAGCTTAACATCACATCAACAAATACACACACACACACACACACA